CGAATGTCCAGCGCGCTCATCCGCTGCTTCCGCTGCTGCTGCTGCTGCTGCTGCTGCTGCTGCTGCTGCTGCTGCTGCTGCTGCGGCTGCTGCGGCTGCGGGGGCTGCTCCTGCGGGGGCGGCGGCGGCCCCGCCGGCTGCGGCGGAGGGACCCCGGCGGGCCACGAACCCGCGGGGGGAGCTGCTGCTCCCCCTGCTGCTGCTGCTGCTGCTGCTGCTGCTGCTGCTGCAGCAGAGTCTGAGGGAATGCCCGCCATTTTCCAGATGCCCAAACTAACTGAGGCGCTGTGCTGCTGCTGCTGCTGCTGCTGCTGCTGCTGGTGTGCTTTAGGGAGCTGCGTCGATGGGCCGTGAGTGTGAGTGCTTGCTCCGCAGCAAGGGCAAGCTCATGCTGCTGCTGCTGCTGCTGCTGCTGCTGCTCTTGTTTTTGCCGCCGCTGCTGCTGCTCCGCGAGCTGCAGCGGCTCCTTTTGTTGCTATTGCTGCTGCTGCTGCTGCTGCCTCTCAAATGCAGTCACGCAGAAGCTCCTGCAGCGCGTGCTGCGCTGCTACCCTGTGCAGAGCGTAGCTGCTGCTGCTGCTGCTTCAGCTGCTGCTGCGTTGCACACAAGCTGCTAATGCGGCCGCTGCGGCCGCTGCTGCTGCTGCGTTGCTGCCGCTGCTGCTGCTGCTGCCGCTGCTGCTGCCGCTGCTGCCGCTGCTGCCGCTGCTGCAACACGGCAAGGCTGGGGAAGCGCCAAACCTCGTGCTGCTGCTGCTGCTACTCCTAGAGTTTGGTCCTGCTGTCAACAATAAGTTTGCTGCTGCTGCTGCTGCAGCACGCTACGCTCTACAGCTGCCGTAACGAGCCAGCTGGAGCAGCAGCAACAGCAGTGGCAGCGGCAGCAGCAGCAGCTCTGCCCCTGAAAGCCCACGCCAGCATAAACAGAGCTGAGGTGTATGTACACCCTGCAGTGCGGATATCCGTGCTGCTGCAGCAGCAAATCTGGAGAGAGAAAGAACGAAGGAGAGTGAACAATGCCACCGGGCAGCAGCAGCAGCAGCTGCCGCTGCTGCTGCTGCTGCTGCTGGTCTTGCTACTGTTGTTGCTGCAGTCAGTGCTGCAGCAACTGCTGTCCGTTGGAGCAGCAAAAATAATTTCAACTTTTTTTCCGCTGCACTAACGGGGGTGTTGTGATCGCAGCAGCAGCAGCAGCAACAGCAGCAGGGGCGGCAGCAGCAGCAGCAGCAGCGAGCGCCCATGCTGCTGCTGGGCATCACACCTGCTGCCAGCAGCAGCCACAGCAGCAGCAGTGGCAGCAGCAGCCAGCCGCTCTGCAGTTTCGGGGCTGCTGCTACTTCTGCTGCACCTCAACTTTTCCTTTTTGCTGCTAAGGGTTTTAAAAGCAAATTTAAACTCAAACGGAAGTGGCTTGTTGGGGAAGCAGCAGCAGTATCCGCAGCAGCAGCAGCAGCAGCAGCAGCAGTGGGGTGGCAGCAGAGGCGGGGGGCCCTTCAGAAGCAGCAACAGCAAATTTTAAGGCCTTCTTCGCGCGGTGTCTTGGCCTTCTGAGCTCTGCTGCTGCTGCTGCTGCTGCAACTGCTGCTGCTGCTGCAGCAAGTGCAGCAACAAGAGCAGCAGGGTCTAGGACAGCTGCTGCTGCACTTCTCGCTGCCGCTGGGCCCGCTGCCTCTGACGCTGCTGCGATGGAGCCAGAAGCTGCAGAACCAGCAGCAGCAGCAGCAGCAGCTGCTGCTGCTGCTGCTGCAGCAGGAACAGAGGAGGGTCTGCTGCCCTTTGGCTGGGGCCTGTCTTTGCTGCTGGCTGCTGAGCTCTCCGTCCTTTTTGCAATTATTATTTCCTTCTGCTTCTGCAAGAAGAGGGTCCCGCAAGTATGCTGCTGCTGCTGCTGCTGCTGCAGTTGCTTCTGCTGCTGCTGCTGCAGTTGCATCTGTTGCTGTTGCTGCTGCTGCCGCTGTTGCTGCTGCGTTTCTTTGCACTGCTGCTGCCGCCGCTGGGCTTCCCACGGAGGCCGTGCTGCGCCTTGCAACAGCCCGCGTGTGTGTCCGCTGCTGCTGCTGCTGCTGCTGCTGCTGCTGCTGCTGCTGCAGGCAGGCGTGGGGTCTTTGCTGCAGTTCATCGGGGGCGGCAGCGACAGCTGGCTGCGGCTGTCTTTGTCTTTCTTTGCATGCTCTGTGGGGTCTTGGATTATCTTTTTGCCTCCAGCTTTGAGTTGGGAAGCAAAGTCAGTTGTTATTTGCTGCTTGTATGCTGCTGCTGCTGCTGCTTCCCCGCTGCTGCTGGGGCTGCTCGCCCCCAAGGTGCACGCTGCGCTCCGAGACCTCAAGCAGCAGCAGCAGCAGCAGCAGCTGCTGCTGCTGCAGCAGCAAAAGGAGCGCAAGCGCCTCCTCCTTACGGCCAGGAACAAGCTCAGAGATGCACGCAAGCAGCAGCAGCAGCAGCAGCAGCAGCAGCAAGAACAGCAGCAGCAGCAGCAGAAAGAGCTGGAGCTCGCGGGCACCCTAATGGCTACTACCGCCAGCAGCTGCTGCCTTACCGCCGTCGAGCTGCAGCAGCAGCAGCAAGAGGAGCAGGAGGAGCAGCGGCAGCAGCAGCTGCAGCAGGGGGAGGAGCAGCAGCAGCAGCAAGAGGAGCAGCAGCAGCAGCAGCAAGAAGAGCAGCAGCAGCGGCAGCAAGAAAAGCAGCAGGATAGCGAGGGCGAAGCGCCTCTTGAGGTGCAGCGGCGCCAGGACTTTGGCCTAGTGGAGTTCGTGCTGCTGTAAGTAGCCCTTGCTGCTGCTGCTGCTGCTGCTGCTGTGCTGCTGCTGTTGCTGCTGCTGCTGCTGCAGTCGCTTTTGCTGCTGCTGCTGTTTCTCGAGCTGTTGGTCTTTCTGAATATATGCTGAGTCATTCTTAATAATTTTTTTAATTTATTTTTATTTATTATTATTTATTTTTTATTTCTTTTTATTTATTTATTTTATTTTGGAATTGTTTTGCTGCTTGCAGCCGCTTCGGGCGCCTACACCACGTGTGTCTGTCTGCTGCTGCTGCGCTGTCGATGCTGCTGTCAGCAGCAGGAGAAGCAGCATTTGTTGCTGCTGCAGCACAGCTGCTGTGTCCGTCTTTGCCTGCTGCTGCAGTGTCGGGAAGTGTGCAGTTTGCTGCTTTTATTTATTCCTTTTTGTTTGGCTACAGAGCTTCTCGGTTCACGGACCTGCTGCAGCTGCCGCTGCTGCTGCTGCTGCTGCTGCTGCTGCTGCCGTACGCGGCGCGCGCTGCAGCAGCAGCAGCAGCAGCAGGCACGCTGCAGCCGCTGCTGCGCTGCAGCAAAGACGGACTTGTTGCAGGACTTGTTATGCTGCTGTCTTATCCTCCAGCTTATATAATAGACCAGGCAGTTTGGGCTCGGGCTGGGCGGGCCAAGACGCAGCAGCAGCTGCAGCAAGCTGTTGCTGCTGCTGCTGCTGCAGTGGCTCCGGTGCTGCTGTTCGTGGGCTTCACGGGCGTGGTGGCTGCTGCAGCCTTCGACCGGCAGACGGCAGCAGCAGCAGCAGCAGCGGGCTCTGCTGCGGAAGCAGCAGCAGCAGCAGAAGCGGCAGCAGCAGCAGCAGCGGCTGTCGGGAGGGCGCCCCTCTTCTCGCTCTTCAGCAGCAGCAGCAGCAGCAACTTGCTGCTGTCCTCCTGCGTGTTTGCTGCTGCTGCGCTGCTGGCCCTCAGCTCCGCCGACGCAGCACAAAACGCTTTGCCGTGGATCATTGCAGCAGACATCCTGGGCCGGCACATGCCCCCCAGCAGCAGCAGCAGCAGCAGCAGCAGCAGCAGCAGCAGCAGCAGCAGCAGCAGCGGGGGGGAGAAGGCGCTGCGGGCGTACCGCTTCTGGGGCTTTTTGCTGCTGCAGCTGCCTTGTTTGCTGCTGGCCATTAGCTGGAGTGATAATTTAGTTATTTTGTTTTTAGTTTCGAACTTTGTGTCTGCTGCAGTGCTGCCGCCGCTGCTGCTGGGGCTGCGCAGCAGCACAACAGCAGCAGCAGCAGCAGCAGGCATGCTCTGCGGTGTACTGACAGTGCCCCTCTGCGGCCTCCTTTGCATGCGCTCTTTTGCTGCTGCTTATCTTTGGTTTGTTGTGCCTTGGGGGGTTTCGCATGCAGCAACTGCTGCTACTTTTGCTGCTGTTCCCCTTGCTGCTGCTGCTGCCACCCTCGCCTGGTCTTGGGCCTTCCCTGCCCCAGCAGCAGCAGCAGCAGCAGCAGCAGCAGCAGCAGCAGCAGCACCCGGGCGCGGCGGAGCAGCAGCAGCAGCAGCAGCAGCAGCAGGCGCCCCAACGGCGCCCGACGTTAAGCTCGACATACACTCCGAACCAGAAAATGAACAGCAGCAGCAGCAGCAGCAGCAGCAGCAGCAGCAACAGCAGCACTAGCAGCAGCAGCAAGAAGGTCGACCGCCGGTGCTGCGGGAGACCGATTTGCAGAACCGCAGGTACAGAAGCAGCAGCAGCAGCAGCAGCAGCAGCAGCAGCGCTGCGGCGTCTCCGCAGCAGCAGCTGCAGCTAGCTGTGGCTAGCCAGTGTAGCTACCCACAGCTAGCCAGTGCCCTTCTGCTCGCCGCCGAGTCTTGCTGCTGCAGATGCTGCAGCAGCAACAGCCGTGAGCCAGCAACGAACTCAGCAGCAGCAGCAGCTGCTGCAGCAGCAGCTGCTGCAGCAGCAGCTGCTGCAGCAGCAGGGGCAGCAGCGGCAGCAGCAGCAGCTGCAGCAGCAGAAACAGCAGCTGCAGCGGCGGCAGCCGCTTTTGCTGCTGCATCTGCTGCTGCTGCTGTTGCAGCATGTGACTTTAGATCTGTTGCTGCTGCTGCTGCAGCAGCAGCATGTGGCTTTAGATTTGCTGCTGCTGCTGCATTTAGAGTATTTGGCCGAGGCAGATTTGCTGCCAGCAAGTTTGGGTGCGTTGGGGTGTACGTACACCCCAGTGGCCCTTTGACTCCCAAAAGGGAGACGGGGACAAACCCTTTTGCCAAATTTTTCATGGCGCTGCTGCTGCTGCTGCTGCTTGTGCTGCTGCTGCTGCTGCTGCTTGTGCTGCACCTGCTGCTGCTGCTTGTGCTGCTGCTACTGCTGCTGCTGCTGCTGCTTGTGCTGCTGCTACTGCTGCTGCAGCTACTTCTCCTGCTGCTGCTACTTCTCCTGCTGCTACTTCTGCTGCTGCTGCTACTCGTGCTGATGCTGCTGCTGCTACTTCTGCTGCTTCTGCTGCTGCCGCTGCTACCTGTGCTGTTGCTGCCGCTGCTGCATGTACTGCTGCTGCTGCATGTGCTTCTTGTGCTGCTGCTGCAGCGTGTGCTACTGCTGCTGCAGCGTGTGCTACTGCTGCTGCAGCGTGTGCTACTGCTGCTGCTTGTTCTGCTGCTACTGGCTCTGGAAAGGGCGAGCAGACGAACGGTCTACTTCTATTTGTTGACACTGCGCCGCTGCTGCTGCTGCTGCTGCTGCTGCTGCTGCTGCGGTGTGGCTGGGGAGAGTTCTTCAGCAGCAAAAGACTTTCTGGGGATAATTAAATAATTTAATTTAATTAATTTTATTCAAATTGACTCAAAAAGAAGACAAGCAGCAGCAAGTCAGGCGGCGGCGCCTGCTGCCTGCTGTGGTCTGGTCTGGTCTGTCCTGCAGCTGCTGCAGCAGCAGCAGCAACAGCTGCTGCTGCTGCTGCTGCTGCTCTTCTTGATGGGCTCAATGACAATTAACTGAAATATAAACTCATTGCCTACTAAACTTCAGTGAAGGGAGCGAGCAGCAAGAGCGGCACAGCCAAGAAGCCGAAGTGCTGCTGCTGCTGCTGCTGCAGCTCCTGCTGCTGCTGCTGCTGCCAGGCAAGGCCTCAGTCAACTCTGAGCGCAGCAGTAGCAGTAGTATTGCTATAAATTTCTTCAAGACACAAGGCTTCTAGGACATTTCCTTCCTGCAGCAGCAGCAGCTGCTGCTGCTGCCACTGCTGCTGCTGCTGCTGCAGGACACGTGAGCTGCAGCAGCGTGGGGTGTGTTTCCAGCTACAAGGCAGCAAGCCAGCGGCCGCCGCAGCAGCAGCAGCATCGTAAGCAGCAGCAGCAGCAGCAGCATCGTTAACAGCAGCAGCAACAGCAGCGGCAACAGCAGCGGCGGCTCGCGCAGCTGAGGCACCAACAACAGCTTAACAGGAGCAGCAGCAGCACCTGCAGCAGCAGCAGCAGCAGCAGCAGCAGCAGCGATGGGGGGCTCGCTGCTGCTGGGCGTCTGCCTCAGCTGCTGCGGCGCCTGCTGCTCCGCAGTGGGCCAAGTGATGCTGCGGAAGACACTCATGCCTCGCAAGGGAGCAGCAGCAGCAGCAGCAGCAGCAGCAGCAGCAGCAGCAGAAGCAGCACCTGCCGCAGCAGCAGCAGAGCCAGCAGCAGCAGCAGCAGGACCTGCAGCAGCAGGATCACAGCGGGCGCTGCCTTCGTCGCCGTTCCTTTCTCCGCGCGGCTCTGCTGCTGCGGGCTCTGCTGCTGCTGCTGCTCCTGCTGCAGCAGCAGCAGCAGCAGCAGCAGCGCCGTGCCGCTGCAGCTGCTGCAGCATGCAAAAGGCAGCAGCGCTGCTGCTGGTGTCTCTCTTTTGCCCCCTCTTTTCCATTTCTGGTGCTGCTCTTTTGCCTGCAAGTGTTTCGGGTTTTGGCGCGCTGCAGCTGCTGCTGCTGCTGCTGCTGTCCAGAAGCATGCTCAGCGAGACTGTCCCCACCCTCCACGCTGCAGGTCCAAACCCTAAACCCTAAACCCTAAACCCTAAACCCTAAACCCTAGGGGCCACGGCCCGAGCGCTAGACTTCCAGCAGCGGCGCCAGCGAGAGCCACAGGGCCGCGGCAGCACTCAAGATCTAGGGTTTAGGGTTTAGGGTTTAGGGTTTAGGGTTTAGGGTTTAGGGTTTAGGGTTTAGGGTATTTATTTAGGAGGCTTTCTGGCAGTGCCTGCTCTTGCTCTAGAAGCCTTGGGGGGCCCCCAGCCAGGCCATTACCTTTCTGTGGAGCAGCTGCTGCTGCAGCTGCGGCAGCCGCAGGTGCTGCTGCTGCTGCTGCTGCTGCTGCTGCTGCTGCTGCTCGCTGCCAGTGCAATCCGGCGGGCAGGAGCCCCTCAAAGCACAGAGCCACCACTAGAGCTCCAAACTCTATACATCAGTAGCAGCAGCAGCAGCACCAGCAGCAGCAGCGGCAGCAACAGCAACAGCAGCAGCAGCAGCAGCAGCAGCAGCAAGATGGCAGTGGATGTGCAAGATCCGCCCACGCCAGCCTACCTACAGGCAGAGCGTCGTCTGCTGCAGCAGCAGGAGCTGGAGCAGCAGCAGCAACTGCAGCAGCAGCAGCAGCAACTGCAGCAGCAGCAGCAGCAGCAGCAGCCTGTGGGATTTCTTGTTTTTGCTGTTCCGGCTGCTGTGGGCGCCTGCGCTGCAACAAACCGTGAGCCGCCTGCTGTTGCTTCGTTTTTGTTGCTGCTCCATTTTGCTGCTGCTGCTGCTGCTGCTGCTGCTGGGAAACAGACCCTTTTCTTATTAGTTCATTTGCTTCTCCGTCGTTTCTTTGTCCTGCTGCTGCTGCTGTCATCGCCGCTTGCTGCTGCTGCTGCTGCTGCTGCTGATGCCGCTTACTGCAGCTCTGGCTGCTTATTGCTGCTGCTGCTGCTGCTGCCTGTTGGTGCCCCTGCTGCGGCTTCTGCTGCTGTTGCTGCTGCTCTTCCCGTTGCCACTGCTTATTGCTGCTGCTGGCAGCTGCTGCTGCTGCTGCTGCTGCATGCAGAGATCCTAATTAAGGCTGTCCAGACGTGGGTGCAGGCCATGAAGGCAGCCTGCAGCAGCCCCGCAGGTGATGCCATCAGCAGCAGCAGCAGCAGCAGCAGCAGCAGCAGCAGCGTGTGGCCTTGCTGGCTTCAGCCTGCAGCGGTGGAGGCGCGCTGGGGCATCTGCGTGGTGCTGCTGCTGCTCGCTGCAGTTGCTGTTGTAGAGCTGCTGCTGCTGATGCGTGCGCTGCAGCTGCTGCCAGCAGCTGCTGCTGCGCCTGCTGCGCACGCCTCGTCTGCAGCAGCAGCAGCAGCAGCAGGGCGCTTGCTGCTGCTCGATCAGCCACGCCAGCCCCTCATGTGGGGCTCCGGTTTGCTGCTGCTGCTGCTGAGTTTGGCCTTCATGGCAGCAGGCACATATATATTCTCTTGCCTGCGCAAGTGCACCGTGTCTTGCTGCAGACCTTTTGCTGCTGCTGCTGCTGCTGCTGCAGAAGCTGCTGCAGCAGCTGCTGCTGCTACCCGCGCGGCCTGGAGAGGCAGGCTGGGGAACAGGGAGTCGAGGGACCCTCTAGTTTGCTGAGGCAGCTGCTGCAGCAGCTGCTACAGCAGCTGCAGCTGCAGCAGCTGCAGCTGCAGCAGCTGCAGCTGCAGCAGCTGCAGCTGCAGCAGCTGCAGCTGTTGCAGCTGCTGCTGTTGCTGCTGCAGCGCCACCTGTTACAGTTACTGGGGCGTTGCTGCAGCACTTGCAGAAATGCAACAGCGGTCTGTGCTGCTGATGCAGCAGCAGCCGCTGCTACAGCAGCAACTGCTGCTGCGCTGCTGACGCAGCATCGACCGCCGCTGCAGCAGCAGCTGTTGCTGCGCTGCTGCAGAGCTTGCAGGACTGTTGCTGCTGCTGCAGCAGCAGCAGTTGCTGCTGACAGTACAACAACGACTAATGTAATTTTTGCATATTCGGTCTACACCTGCAGCTGCTGCTGTCTTCAACTAGCCGAGCAGCAGCAGCAGCAAGCCGAGCAGCAGCAGCAGCAAGCCGAGAGCAGCAGCAGCAGAAAAGGCTTCGGATAAGTTTTGAAGACGAATCAGTTTCGGTGTTTCAGTGCGCTGCGGTGTACGTACACCTGAAAGAGGTGTGGGGCCGGCCGCGCCAGCTGCTGCTGCTGCTGCAGCGTTTCTGAACTGCAGCAGCAGCTATTCTCTCGTGGCGAGCTGCTGCAGCAGCAGCAGCAGCCTTTCTCTAGTGGCAAGCTGCTTCTGTTGTCTAGCTAGCTACTTGCTCTTCTGCTGCAGCAGCAGCGGCCGTTCTTCCTTCTCCAGCAACACGCTGCTGCTGCGGCTGGTGCTGCAGCCGGCGTGTTTGCTGCTGCTGCTGCTGCTGCTGCCGCTGCTGTTGCTGCTGCTGCTGCTGCTGCTGCTGCGTCTCGCTGGCAGCTGTGCTGCAGCAGCCTGCGACGCAGCTGGCAGCAGCAGCTGCAGTGTCGCGCGCGGTGTCAGAGCTTCCTGGTGGCGGGGCGGACCTCCTGCTGCTGCTGCTGCTGCTGCGCTGCTGCTGCTGCTGCTGCGGGCTCGAGGTTGACTTCGACCTGCAGCCCCTTGGCCCTGAGGCGGCGAATGAGGGGCTCGCCAGCAGCAGCAGCAGGAGAGAGAGTGCCCGTGAGTTTGCTGCAGCAGCTGAGCTCGAGAGCAACAGCAAGAGCTGTTTCTGCAATCATTTTTGCTGTTTCGGAATAGCCAGGATCTCCCCAGCTGCTGCCAACTGCAGCACGAAGAGTGCCGGCGCTGCAGCGCCCCACAGCCTCCATGCGGAAGCAGCCGCTGCGCAGTGTACGTACACTCGGGCCCTCCCCAGCAGCAGGCAGCAGCCGCAGCAGCCGCAGCAGCAGCCGGCTCACTGGACACCCCACAGCCAGCAGCGAGGTGTACGTACACACCAGCACCACTGCAGCAGTCAACAAGTTGAAGCTGCACGCCAGCATTTCGTAGTACACAAACGAGGGCCCGTACCGGTAACCCAGCAGCGCGTTCGTCCACCTGCAGCAGCAGCAGCAGCAGCAGCAGCAGCAGCAGCAGCAGCAGCAGCGGCGGCAGCAGCAGCAGCGGCGGCGGCGGAACGGCGGCAGCAGCAACGCAACACACACGCGTTCACCAGTTTGCTGCTGGCTAGCTCTTGCTGCTGCGCGGGCACGTGCTCTGCTGCACGGGCGCCTCAGCCAGCAGCAGCAGCAGCAGCAGCAGCAGCAGCAGTGTGTGGCAGTGGCTTTTAGGGACTAGGGTTTAGGGTTTGGGGTTTAGGGTTTAGCAGAGCAGCAGATTTAGCTTCCTTCCATTTAGTTTAGTGCTGCGGGCTTTGCTGGCCCTGCTGCTGCTTCGGCTGCTGCACCTCCCCACGGCCCCTAACCCAGCAGCAGCAGCAGCAGCAGCAGCAGCTGCTGCTGCTGCTGCTGCTGCTGCTGCTGCTGTTGCACTTGAGGCCTCACCGCACAACGTTTTCGTTGACTCTCGACATCACGAAGAAAGTTGAATAGCCGAAGTCTTGGTCGTAGTGCAGCGCGCAGCTGAAAGCAGCAGCAGCAGCAGCAGCAGCAGCAGCAGCAGTAGCAGCAGCAGCAGTAGCAGCACAGCTGCAGCAAACGCCCGCAGGTGGCAGCAAAGCCAACAGCAGCAGCACCCTCCCAGCCCCACCCAACCTCCCCAATGGCCGCAGCCACAGCCACATCAGCAGCAGCAGCCACAGCAGCAGCAGCAGCAGCAGCAGCAGCAGCACAGCAGCAGCTACCACCACAACGGCGACAGCCCCAGCGACGGCCCCAGCCCCAGCAGCAGCCCCAGCCCCAGCCCCAGCAGCAGCAGCAGCAGCAGCAGCAGCAGCAGCAGCAGCAGCAGGAGGGCTTACACCCTGGGCTGAACGGGCAGCTGCTGGCCGAGGGTTTGGGAGTTGTCTGCTGCATGCTGCAGCAAATAGTAAGGGTTTGACATGCTGCTGTGGCCCATCACATTCAACGCAGACTCTATTGTGGCTCCAGAAACCCCGCCCCGAATGCTCCGCACCGCCAGCTTCACCTGCGCACAAGGGTTTAGGGTTTAGGGTTTAGGGTTTAGGGTTTAGGGTTTGGGGTTTAGGGTTTGGGGTCTAGGGTTTGGGGTTTAGGGTTTAGGGGGAGGAGAGGGTAGGGAGAAGAGCAACGGGACTCAAGGGGTTGCGCGCTGCAGGTGCTTCAGCACACACACACGCTGCTGCTGCTGCTGCTGCTGCTGCTGCTGTTGCTGCTGCTGCTGCTGCTGCTGCTGCTGCTGCAAGGGCTCAGCAGCAAAGGGCGCGCGCGCATCCCCGCGTCCCCGCGCCGCCCCGCAGCAGCAGATCCGAGCCCCCAGCAGCCGCAGCACCCCCAGCAGCAGCCCCAGCAGCAGCAGCAGCAGCAGCAGCAGCAGCAGCAGCAGCAGCAGCAGCAGCAGCAGCAGGAGGCGCACCTCTTTGCAGGGTTTGCCAGTGAGTTCAATGGCTTTGTTTTGAATCATGAAGACACACAAGTCGCTGGGAATGCTGTCGAAGCCGCAAAAAGAAATTAACTTCACTCCCCTCTCTTTTGCTGCGAGGCCGTGCCGCGCATGCAGCATCGCCACAAACGGCATCTCTGCAGCAGCAGCAGCAGCAGCAGCAGCAGCAGCGGCGGTGGGTGGCGCTGCGGGCAGCAGCAGCAGCAGCTGCTGCTGCTGCTGCTGCTGCTGCCGCACGCACTGGGGCGGCACGCGCGCGCGGACACCCGCGAACTGACACGGCAGCACGCAGCAGCACGCAGCCTGCTGCTGCTGCTGCTGCTGCTGCGCTGCTGCTGCTGCTGCTGCTGCTGCTGCTGCTGCTGCTGCTGCTGACCTGCAGTCAAGTCGCAGTAGTGCGTCCGCGCCTCCACGCAGGCCCTGGCCACGGGCTCTCCGTAGAGCATGTAGGGCCCCACAGTGGTGATGAGCACGCGGCACCTGCAGCGCAAACCCTAAACCCTAAACCCTAAACCCTAAACCCCAAACCCCAAACCCCAGCCCCCAAACCCTAAGCGCCAAGCGCAGCCCGCGCGTGCAGGCTGCACTGCTGCTGCTGCTGCTGCTGCTGCAGGCGTGGGGTTTGGCGGGGCGCGGGAGGGTCTGGGCCGGCGGTTTAGGGTTTAGGGTTTAGGGTTTAGGGTTTAGGGTTTGGGACCTGCGGGCGAGGCCGAGAAGCGAAGCATAGTCCTCCACATCCGCCACTTGCGTCGAAATGTCTTTTTCTTCGAAGTCGAATTTGCGGAGAAGTTCTTTTTTGAAGTCCAAAAGCTTTGCTGAACTTCGAGCCGCCAAAACGAACTTCACTCCAGAATGAGGGCCGTAGTTGCTGCACAAATACTCCGCTATTAATCTGCAAAAACAGATATTCTCAGGTGTACATA